CATTCTTGATGAAAAGACTAGAGCTGAATAGAAAATCTGACTTTCAAATACAAGACTCAAGAGAAGCATGAAGAGGTAAACAGGAAAGAAATCATAAGGGACTTATTACGGTTGAACCTTTTACATTCCTGCATGGAAAGATGATATTTGTAGCTCATGAGACCTTTGTCAGTATTAGGGTAGTTGAAAATTATATGTACGTATTAGATGATAGACAGACACAGACAGACAGACAGACAGACAGACAGACAGACAGACAGACAGACAGATAGATAGATAGATAGATAGATAGATAGATAGATAGATAGATAGATAGATAGATAGATAGATAGAGATAGAGGGCACAGGGTGAGTTGAAGATGAAGAGGTGCTATCTGGAGAATAAAATTAAGGGGTGAGAGATTATACTGAGAGGAGAAAGGGAGAGGTAGAATGGGGTAAACTATCTCACATAAAACAGACAAGAAAAGGCTTTTACAATGGAGGGGAAGAGGGGGAAGGGAAGAGGGAATGAGTGAATCTTATTCTCATCAGATTTGGCTTAAGGAGGGAATACCATACACACTCAATTGGGTATGGAAATCTATCTTATCCTACAAGAAAACAGGGAGAAAGGGGTTAAGAGAGCAGGGAGATGATAGAGGGAAGGGCAAATTGGGGGAGGAGGTAATCAGAAGCAAACACTTCTGAGGAGTGAAAGGGTCAAAGGAGAGAATAGAATAAACAGAGGGCGGGAGAGGATTAAGGTAAATATACTTAGTTTTTCACATGACTACTATGGAAGTGTTTTGCGTGACTACACACATATAACCTGTATTGAGCTGCTTGCCATCTCAATGAGGGTAGGTGGAGAGGGAGGAAGGGAGAAAATTTGGAACCCAAAGCTTTAAAAACAAATGTTAAAAATTGTTTTTACATGCAACTGGGAAATAAGATATACAGGCAACGGGGTATAGCAATCTATCTTGCCCTACAGGAAAATAGAAACGGAAGGGGATAAGAGAAGGGTTGGGGAGGGGGGCGGAGATAGAAGGGAGGGCAGATTAGAAGGGGTATTCAGAACGCACACCACTGGGGCAGCTAGGCGGCACAGTGGATAGAACACAGGCCTGGGATTCAGGAGGACCTGAGTTCAAGTCTGGCCTCAGACACATAACACTTACTAGCTGTATGGCCCTAGGCAAGTCATTTAACCCCACTGCCTAGCCAAAAAAAAAACAACCCAGAATGCACACCACCTCAGGGTGGGGGAAGGGACAAGATGGGGAGAAAATCTGGAACTCAAAATTTGAGGTCAATGTTTAAAACTAAAAATAAATTAATAAAAAAAAAAATTATCAGGGAAAACTGCCCTGATATTCTAGAACTAGAGGGTAAAATAGAAATTGAAAGAATCCACTGATCACCTCCTTAGATGCCAAAATGAAAACTGCCAGGAATATTATAGTCAAATTCCAGAGTTCCCAGGTCAAGGAGGAAATACTGCAAGGAGCCAGGAAGAAACAATGCAAGTATCATGGAGCCAGTCAGCATAACAGATTTAGCAGCTTCTACATTAAAGAATCAGGAGGGCTTGGAATATGATATTCCAGAGGGCAAAGGAGCTAGGATTACAACCACGAAATCACCCAGCAAAACTGAGTACAATCCTTCAGAAGGGAAAATGGGCATTCAGTGAAATACAGGACTTTCAAGCACTCTTGATGAAAAGATTAGAGCTGAATAGAAAATCTGACTTTCAAATATGAGACTCAAGAGAAGCATAAAAAGATAAACAGGAAGAGGAAATCACAATGAACTTAATTAGGTTAAACTGTTTATATTCCTACATGAGAAGATATTTGTAACTCATAAGACTTTTCTCATTATTAGAGTAACTAGGAGTATATTTAGACAGAAGGCACAGGTATGAGTTGAATATGAAGGGATGGTATTTAAAAAATAAAATTAAGGTGTGAGAGAGGAATATACTGGGAGAAAGAGAAAGGGAGAGGTAGAATGGGGTAAATTATCTAACATAAAGGCAAGAAAAATTTTTACAATGGAGAAGAGGGAGGAGTGAGAAGGAATGACTGAACCTTACTTTCATCAGAATTGGCTCAAAGAGGGAATAAGATACATAGGCAATGGGGTATAGAAAGCTATCTCAACCTTAGAGCAAAGCAGAAGGGGAAGGGGATAAGAGAAGAGAAGGGAATGGTGGTGATAGGAGGGAGGGCGATTAGGGGAAGGGGTAGTCAGAAGCAAAACACTTTTGAGGGAAGACAGAGTAAAAGGAGAGACAGAACAGAATAAACAGGTAGAGGAAATAGGATGGAGGGAAATAATTAGCAATAGTAACCATGAAAAAAAAATTTGAAGCACATTTCTCTGATAAAGGTCTCATTTCTCTAACATATAGAGAACTGTCAAATTTATAAAAATAAGAGCCATTCCCCAATTGATAAAAAAAAAATCAGTCTTCAAATGAAGTAATTAAAGCTATCTATAGCCATATGAAAAAATATCCTAACTCACTATTGACTACAGAAATGCAAATTAAAACAATTTTGAGGTACTACCTCATGCCTATTAATGTTTGGCTAATAGGACAGAAAAGGTAAATGACATGTTGGAAGGGATGGGGGGAAAATGAGACATTAATATACTGTTGGCAGTTGTGAACTGATTCAACCATTCTATAAAGCAATCTTGAATTATGCCCAAAGGGCTATAAAACCATGCATACCCTTTGACCTAGCAATGCCACTACTAGGTCTACATACCAAAAGAGACAAAAAACAAAAAGAAAAGGACCTATATGTACAAAAATATTTATAGAAAGGGCAGCTAGGTGGCACACTGGACAGAGAATTGGCCCTGGAGTCAGGAGGACCTGAGTTCAAATCCAGCCATGTAATACTCATTAGCTGTGTTAACTCTGGGCAAGTCACTTAACCCCAACTGCCTCACATAAAAAAATGTACATTTATAGTAGCTCTTTTCTGAGGGTAAAGAACTAGAAACTGAGGGGATGCCCATCAATTGTGGAATGGCTGAACAAGTTGTGGCATGTAATTATAAGGAAACACTATCTCCACCCCCCCCCACCCTTCTCTTATCCCCTTCCCTTTCTATTTTCCTGTAGGGCAGGATAGATTTCTATACCCCATTGCCTGTATATCTTATTTCCCAGTTGCATGTAAAAACAATTTTTAACATGTTTTTAAAGCTTTGGGTTCCAAATTTTCTCCCTTCCTCCCTTCTCCACCCACCCCTCATTGAGATGGCAAGCAACTCATTACAGGTTATATGTGGGTAGTCACACAAAACACTTCCATAGTAGTCATGTGAAAAACTAAGTACAATAAGAAATGATGAGCAAGCAGGATGCTCTAGAGAAACCTCCAAAGACTCACATGAGCTGCTGCAAAGTGACATGTATTTTGTACAAAGTAACAGTAATGCTGTAAGATGATCAGCCATGAATTACTCGGCTATTCTCACAATACAACAATCCAAGACAACTCTGAAGGATGAAAAATGCTATAAATCCCCAGAGAAAGAACTGATGGTGTCTGAATACAGACTGAGCATACTTTTTTTTCCCCCATTATTTTTGAGGGTTTTTTCTTTCACAACATGACTATTATGAATATGTCTTGCATGACTACACATATATAACCTATATGGAATTTGGAACTCAAAAGTTTTAAAAACAAATGTTAAGAATTGTTTTTACACGTAATTTGGGAAAATTTAAATACTAAAAAATACCAAAAAAAGTTATGAAGACAATGGAAAATGAGAGCTAGAGTCAGTAGGATGATTGGTCAAAGTTAGAAAACCTAGCATAATTACAAATATTAATGGATTTACAAAATCACAGTATTTACAAAATGCTTTCCTCACAAGAAGATTATGAGGAAGGTAGAACATTATCCACATTAAATAGATGTATAACCTGAAGCTCAGAAGAGTTAAGTCATTTGCCTATTATTACATAGTTGCCAGGCTTCAAACATAGGTCTCCAGACTCACAAATCCAGCCTCTCCATATCAAAGTTGCCTTAGGATGAGGATAATCAATAGTTTCCAGACATGTCACCAAAAAGGTCAAGGAAAAAACATTTTAGATTTGGCCAAATTGGCCAGAAGACAGGGTGAGGGCACTGCACTTCAGCATAATTCAGTGAAATAATTGGGATCAAAGTCAGATTTGGCAAGTCAACAAGTATTTATTAAACATTTACTATATGCTAGACACTTTGCTTCCTGACTTGAGATAGCAAATGGATAGGAGTTAAACAAAAAGGATGTGAACAGTTCCTCCAGGAAGGAGTGAGATTTTGGAAAGGATAGTAGATCCAATGAGGATTTCCAAGATTATAAAGTGCGATAGGTTTAAAAGTAGATGATACCAAAAGCATAGTTATTTATGTTGGCAAGGAATGGGATGGTTCTCAGCAGATAAATGTCAATTTGAGAACTTCTGCATGGATACAGTGATAAGCAGGGCCACCCAGAGCATTTCATATAGACAAAAAAAAAAGAATGACAGAAAAAATATATTTAAATGCCATGAAGTCTTAGTCTTTACCTCAATTTTCAATTTTTTAAACAGGCTAAGCTTTAAAAGAGGGTGGCTGGGAAATAACTTGGAACTCTAAGAGGAGAATGAGAGTTTTAGACTATTTAGACTATGAATTTTGGTAGCAATGGTCAGTGATGTGGTTAAAATAAATTCAGAATTAGATTCAAGGCTGGAATAGATTTAGTTGGAAACTCCTTGATGTGCATATATAGCATTACAACAGAGAACCATCATGTACTTTGGGGGGAGTGGGGGCAGGGAGAAAGAGGGAACAGGACCTGGGGCCTCGAGGCCACAAGTGGACCTAGAGGTCCTTGGATATGGCCTTTGGAACTCCTTGGGTGAGTCCAAGTTTTACAGAACAAATCTTTTTATTAAGGGGATTTGTTCTGTGACGCTTGGATTCAGTCAAGTACCTGAGGACATACAGGGCCACATGTAGCCTTGAGGCTGCAGGTTCCCCATCCCTTCTACATGTACTGGGAGGGAGGGAGAGGGAGAAGAACCTCATTTACTCTGAACCATATCTCTTCAATGTCTTTTTGCAACTGTCACTAACATCCATGGGCTGTGGAGACCTCAAATTTAAGCAAGGAGGACCCTAGCAGATGGACACCAGAAAGGGGGAAGAGAAAATGATTATGTTGTCTCTTTCCCTGGCAACATATGCTTTTAGTAACTTTTTCATACACTGTGACGCTCTCAATAGATCCTCCAGACCAACGTCCCCATAGCCTTGCCCCAATCCAAAGCAGTTTCAACATTTTATTTACATGAAGACATGATCGTGTGTGTGTGTGTGTGTGTGTGTGTGTGTGTGTGTGTGTGTGTGTGTGTAAACAGGTTTAGAAGATGGGTATTTAGAGTTCTTCTCTATAAAGTAAAAGATTCTCACAAAGGCTACAGGCCAGTACCCCTTTTTCCATCACAGAGGTGGCCCTCTCAAATACCGAATTATTCAACTAAACCCACAACTCTCATTCCAAGTGATAAGATTGTTTTTCATTTTCAATACATTTTCTTTCTTTTTTAGATCATTTCATAGAAATTCTGTACAGAAAATTTATATTTTATCTTACACAAGGTGACCACTACAGAACTCTAGACAGGTTAAAAGCAGGAAGCTAGAAGGTTAAGAAGGGTTCAAGCCTGCAGACCGTCCACACCTGAATTCCTTTTGGGGTGGAGGGAGTAGGACATGCCCATTTTAGCACTCCACTTTGGTGAAAGATCAAGAGGAGCTAGGAAAATATAAGATACTGGATAACCAGTTTCCAGCGTCAGAAGTCATATTGGCTACCCAACTGGTTTCCTGGTCAAGGTTTTGGGATTCCATTAAGATATTTTCTTCCCCTTAGACACAAACTCATTCGCTGATCCCCAACAAGTAGCATTACACACATCTTGCTCAATTTAAAGAGTAACCCACAGCTGAGACAGTTATTGCTCTATTCGCAGAACAATTTGGTTTTATGATTCACTATACACCTTAGCTGCCCAGAAGGGGAAAAAGTAAGTCAGCCTGGGTTCTCTCTTCTGGTGAGGAATAAATTTTTCTTAGGGAAATGAAGAATTCGACCTCTCCCAAAGTCAACTTCTCAGTAGCAACCATCAGCTGATAGAAATATGTTCTGGCTTCCCATTGGTGGCAACCACTCCACTTCCGGGCAATGTTGCAGAAACTGTGGTTTCTTCAGGTTTCTGGGATCCCTGCGGCCTGGGTACACCTACTGCAATCTGTACTTGGTTCTGTTAAAAGAAACAGATGTCTTGGTTAAGAATTCAGTCCCTAAATGAGGTAGAAAACTGACTTACTAAAGCTAATAACAAAAGGAATAGCAAAATGTTCTGTGCCAATATTCTCAGAATGTCATCCCCACCCAATCTGTATCCCCAGCCCTTATACCTCCTGACTACCATCCTGGCCATTTTCCTATCACACCACTGCTGCTACACCCTTCAGATCTAATCTCCAGAGACAATGACCTAGAGGAACCAAGTCACTGAACTTTGGAATTCCTATCATAGAACTATGTTGTCCTGCCAGCAAAAGCCCACTTAAACTATGCCCTGCAAGCCCCAGAACCTACCAGGGGTGGGGAACCTTGGGTGTAGCCTTTTAACTGAGTCCAAGTTTTATACAATAAATTTTTTTATTAAGGGGATTTGTTCTGTAAAGTTTGGATTCAATCAAAGGGCAGCATTTAAGGACCTAGAGGGCCACATATGACCTCAAGGCTGCAGGTTCCCCATCCCTGATCTCATCCATCTTCCTACCATGCCATCAATCACATTCCTTCACTTCCTCCTTACTTTATACCTTTCTTACTTTAGAAAGAGTAATAAATTAAATATTACCTCTGCTTCTGGAAAGTCAATCAGCTTCTCAATTGTCCCATTCACTACTCATATACCTTCTATAATTCTACCCTTCTCTGGTCACCATGTCCTTTGAAGGTAAGGACTGTCTTTCGTTTATATTTATATACACAGCATTTAAAACAGTGCCTGGCACATGACAGGCACTTAATAAAGACTTTTGCATTCCTTCATTTTTTGCTTCACTATCAGACAAGTAGAGAGCCCCTCTCCATAGAACCCCTAGATCTTTGAGAACTCAGCTCAAATACTAGTTTCTACACAAGACTTCCTCTGATCCTCCCAGTCATTAATGTGTTTCCCCACCAAAATTTATCTTGTATCTATATATACTAACTTAGATTTTTGCATATCCATACATATATATGTACATGATGTCTCCTTCAGAAAGACTGTAGGCTCCTTGAGGGCAGAGACTATTTACTGTCTTTATATCCCCAGGACTCAGCACAGTGATGGATATACAGCAGGCAGGTACATGCAAAAATTTTTTGTAATTTTATTTTAAAATAAAAATTTTCTTCCTATCTATATTTTCTATACCTTATGCATTTAAAAAAAAACCACCGTTAATTAATGCAGTTTATTTCAAGTTATTCTTAAATTGCAGTACTTTTAAGTGTTAATCATGCTTGTTTATTGGGAACTGATTTTTTCAATGTCCTATAATACCAATCACACCACTCTGCAGTTTCTTCCAAATTAACCCACTTTCCCTCTTAGAGTTCTAAAACAGGAAGACCTTCATCTAGACTCTTATGAAAACAATGGCTACAACAAAATTTCTGGCTATCGTACATATTCTATCAAATGCTTAAAAACTGGAGAAAGACCACATTACATACTACTGCTAACCTTCAATGTCTGATGCTTAATAAATGCTTGCTGATTAATGAATCAGTAGTGGATTTTTCCCATTGTTGTTATCATTTTCTTTATTTCTGTATTACGTAAATTAAACAACAACAATAATATTTATAAGGTTTTAAAGTTTAAGGCTTGCAAAATGCTTTACACATAATCTCACTTGATCTTCACGATGACCCAGTGAGGTAGGTGATATTATCAATTATCAGCCTCATTTTACAGATGAGAAAACTGAGGCTGAGATAAGTTAAGACTTGACCGGGGTAACATACCTAATAAGAGTTGGAGGCAGGATATGAGTTCAGGTCTTCCTAACTCCAAGTACAACGTACTACTTAATTACCTGCTCTTAAAAAGTAAAAGGTGGGGCAGCTCAGTGGCACAGTGGATAGAGCAATGGCCCTAAAGTCAGGAGGATCTGAGTTCAAATCCGGTCTCAGACCAAACACTTGACACTTACTAGCTGTGTGACCCTGGGCAAGTCACTTAACCCCAATTTCCTGAAAATTAAAAAAAAAGTAGAAAGTAGAAAAAATCCAGGGCCCAAAAACCCAGTAGTCTCTCCACAATCTTTTTTTAGATGACTAAAGAAAGGTAACCCAGCTAAAAAGACACAAGAAAGAAAAGTTTTAGGATTATAAAGTCTTTGAAGAGATTATCATAATATAAAAGAATTCATATACATATTTGAGGTGAAGTGCACTTAAGTGCCTTGTTGGTTGATTCAAAGAAAATAAATTAAAATGATAAAATGTAAGCTCTTTGAGTGCAAGAACTGTTTCATTTTTGTCTTTTATTTCCCAGTGTCTAGCACAGTGTTTGGTATGTCTAGGACCTTAATAAAGGCTTCTGGACCAAATGACTGATTAGAAAGGCATGTACAATTAAGAAGGCAAAATTAATTTTAGGTAGCTTTGTACTCTACCTGTGATGATATTCCCACTCCCCAAGGTACAGGCTGGCCAGCAGAAAACCCCTTGCCTGGCTGTGTTACTGCATTTGGGACACCTAGCTAAGGACGTTCTTCACTTGCCAGAATATCCACAGGAGCTTCAGCAACATCTTTGATTGAATGATCCTCCAGAGTTAGTGAAGGGTCAAAGAGCAAGGGAGAAGGAGGGCACTGCATTCCATCACCCACTACATCCAAGTCCTAGAAGACGGAAAAAAAAAATACCACAGACAAGTCTATCAGTAAAATCAGAGGAACTGATACCAGCTACAGGGGATATAGTAACCTCATTTTAACCAACTGTAGGCAACTCCTAATTATTCTCACTGACTCTATTTTTCAAAAAGAAATACAATTTATTAAAAAGCTACCTACAGCTGACTCCACAATGATTCCTCTTCCCAACCTAGCAAAGATGGCACAATCAACAACAAAATAACCAAAAAGCTTAAAGGAAGAAAAGCAGGAAATACTGCAGATTAGATAATAAATTAATTGCCTTTTTAAATTTACGATTTTGATCAAGTTATATCCATTTTACAAATACTCAACTCAACAAACATGTATTAAGTGCCCTATATGTATACTAACCTTGGTGCTAGGCAAGATTCAAAGTTTATAGGTCTAATCATAATCCTTGTCCAGAGGACTTATAATCTATTAAATGACATAAACACAAACATTATACTACAAAAGGATGTCTAAGTGTATTGAAGAGATAAAAATAAAGTGTGATGTGAGATCAAAGTCATTACTAACTTTGGGTGAAAGGAGGGGGATGGAAGGAAAGGCTTCCTAAAGGAAATGCAATGAGTTTCTATGGGTAGAAAATCAACAGCCATGCAGGAGAAAATTACTGGCACAAAAAATATCATAAGCAAAAGAAATAAAGGTAGAGATGAAGAGGTAGGTAAATGGGATGGTACAGAGAAAAGTATAGAATAAAAATGGCAAAGTAAGATAGGGAAGTTACGGAGGTATGACAAGATTACTTATTGGGCAACAGAAAGAACAATGACCAAACAAGTTATCTGAGGCAAGAATAAAAGATGAAAAGACAAATTAAGAGGCTACTGAAGTAAGCCAAGCTGGATGAGTAATGAGGTCCTATACTGGTTTGGTGGTGGCAGAAAGACAGAAAGTTAGCAGATGCAAGAGTTATTAGGTCAAAATGATAGGATTAGGTAATTACTATGTGAACAAGAATCAAAAGATTCTTAACTCAAAACTCAGGTTTTGAATACAGGCAACTGGGTAGAGCCATTAAGATAAAAACCTTAAGAGTAAGAAAGGGGAGCAGGTTTAAGGGAAAACGTGCAAAAGAAATTTTCCAGTGGTTACACCACATTGTATTAATGATGGTAACAAAAGCAGTAAGAAAATGAAAAATATTTTCTCTACATGCCCGACAGATGTCACTTTTTATAAGAATAAACATTCACTTAATTAAATTATATAATTTTCCCATGTCAAGGTTGGAGTTAAGTTCCATGTTTAATCTTGATCCAAACAACACTTTCCACAGATTTTGTTTCTTCCAACTGAAGTGGTCATTCCCCACTAGAGACTTAGAATGACCAACAGACCACAGAGAGACATTCTTCTGGGCTCCTGTTTGAAACCAATAGTTACAACAAACCACTGGTCTTGATTCAGGGCCTGTCACAGACATTGCAAAAACTCAGATATTAAGAAGAAAATTTATTTGCCACTGCTTTCCAAGGATTTCTGTTACAACACTAATTTTTTTTTCCCTTCATATGGTGGAAGCCAGAAACAAATCAAGGGTTTTATACCTTTATAATGAGTCTATATCCCTAGTCCCTCAAAATGTGGTGTTCTAGTTTTGTCATGAATTGCTATGCTCTATCTCAGGTCACTTTATTTTGTCATTGTTGTTGCTTTTTCTTTATTTTTACTTTTGGTCTTTGATTTTACATCACCTTCATTTCTGAATATACTCCTCCTCTATGCTTAAATACCCAGTGAGTCAATCCAATAATAAAGAAGGGGAAAAAAGTAGTTCAGCAAAACTAATCAACACATCAAGATTGGCAGTATATGCAATGTTCTATACCCATAGTCACCCACCTCTGCAAAGAAGGGAGATGCATTTTCTAATTTCCTGTCCCAGATGATTTTAAAACAATCATTTTCTTTCGATCTATAATTCTCTTTTAGCTCACAAAAGTCACTTTGCTAAAGATATGTTTTTTAAACTGATCAAAAGGACTCAGCATTTCAGCTAGTGAATGATATATAATGAAATGTTGGCTTTATATTTAGATAAATTTACATAAGTTTTCTACTGCTTTTTTCCAGTGTGCCCCAGCATGTCACTGAAAATAAGAACAAAACAGCCAGGAATGGAACATACCTAAAAAGGTATAGGTCAAACTGCTGGTAAAAATTAGTTGCCTGGAGTCTTACAGATCATTTTGCACAATGCTTTACAGTAAAAAGACAACAGAGAAAATTGGCTCACTATGGTATCTTTTAATTAATTAAATACCATAAAGAGTAGCCAACATGTAAGAACTGCACACCAAAAATATAAGAAAGGAGTCTGCAATTAAACCTACAGCCTCAGATGCCTGCACAAAAATGAGGAAAAAAAAGTATGAGTAATAAAAAAAAAATTACTAGAGAGCCAAACACAAGAGGTTATATTTGATCTCACAGACAGGACTGAAATTTAGGGGAATGAGTCACCATAACCAGAATACAACTTTCAAAGCATAATGCTACTAAAAAAAAAAAAAAGAATTAAACGTGGGGCAAATACATGAGGAAATCCAGAAATCAGTGGAGCGTTAGAACTGTGGTGAAAAGTATTTGAGGGAAAATCAATTAAGACATGAAGAGAAATAGTACTGTCTTTAGAACATCACAAAGACTGAAACAGAAAAAGTATTCAGGAAGCAGATCTCAAGTAGAAAAGATTCTCATCAACAAGAAGGAATTGGTTGCTGTGGTAGAAACGAACCATGAGAAGATAGCTCTCCATTCTAGAATTTATAACAGATGAGAGGAAAATGGGGCACAAGACTATATCCTATATTCTTGGACAGCATACCTCAAAAGTTTCAAAATGGATAGGTAGGATCCCACAGACTAAAATTTTATAGGGGAAGTCAACCCAAGTGGGATCCCCAAAACTTAAATTAAGACACAAAGAGAAATAATTCTGAGAGAAAAAGGTAGAGCTGTCTAAAAATGCCCTATGTGAAAGAACAGGAACTTAACAACTTGAGATTTTTTCTTAAAAACACATATAAAAGATGGAAGGCAAGAATAAGTAACAGGTTGAATATAAAAGAATGGCCCAGTTTTGAAGGAATAGTGTCTAAAAGTCACAATGAAATTAAGGGAGGTGAAAAAACACACAGTAAAAATGTTTTTTAAAAAGCCATACTGGAGAAAAGACTAGTATCAAAGAATGTATAGGACTCAGGGTGAAGAGAATGATAAAAATAGGACTGTATAGAGAAAATGTATAATTGCTCAACTCTTAACTTTGCTTCTATTTTCTCTGCCAAGGAATATGAGCTTTGGCCAGGAAAAGATATAATAAAAATAGCTAATAAGAGCTGGTACCCAAGATAAGTAAAGAGAGTAAAAGCCTTTAGCTACCAGTCAACATGTCCACAGGAACTGATGCTAAAGTACCTACAAAACACTACAGACATGGCTGGTAAGCCACCATTAATAAACTTTGAAAAACTGAAGAACAGAAGAGGTACCACTGGATTGGTAAGGGAGCAAACTGCCAATTTTCAAAATAGATAAAGAGAACAGTCTGTAGACTACAGAACAGTAAGCTTAACCTTAATTCCTGGTAAAATTCTGTAATATATTATTAATGGGATGCTTAGTAAACACTTTAAAAAGGAATGAATGATTTTTAAATGTATTTTAAATGGGCAGTTTGCAAAATGAATCCAAAGCACATATTAGGGATATATAAAAAGGAAGACAGTCTCTACCCTCAAGAAGCCTACATTCTGGGAGAGGAAAATAATGCATATAAGAAGGTGGTGGACATAGTAAGATGTTTTGGTTTGGGAAATAATAGGGATAGTTAGTGAGTGGAGCCATAGCACAGTCAAATGACATCCTTTTATAGAAATAATGGCAGGATTGATCTGATTACTATTCCCAGAGCAAGAGGTAGAAAAGAGACACATTTCTCATGGCAAGATGGCCAGGGTACAGGCTGGATGGGATGTAAAGCAAGGTCTGAATCTGAGGTCAAGACGTGTCTAGAGAGGATACAGTGGGCCATGTGCACTGGTTCTGGCTGACTCACCAATCAGAACAGTATGGCCCCAGGGCGGTGGTTCCAAAGCTGTGTGGATTAAGTCACCCAGGGCATGGTCTCAGGAGGTCCAGTGGTCCAGAGGGAGCAGCAGCAGGACAGATGGCAAGGAGATGGCCAGGGTGGACGGTCAGATGGGATGTGAAGCATGGTCTAGAGTCTGGGGCCACTAGATAATATGGGCCATGTACGTTGCCGTTGACTGACTCACCAATCAGGACAGCACTGCCCCAGGGCCGTGGTTCCAAAGCTGAGTGGATTAAGTCACTAAAATAGATAATTTCAATTATATGAAATTAAAAGGTTTTTGCAGGAACAAAATCAATGCAAGTATGATAAGAAAGCAAACTGTTGATTGGGGAAAAAAATCTTTGCATCAAATATCTCTGATAAGAGTTAAATATTCAAGACATATATGGAATTTACACAAATATAAGACCAAAAGCCATTCTCCCATAGACATGATTTCAAAGAATATGAACAGTTCTTTTAACAACTGCAAACTATTAACAACTATATGAAATATTGATCCAGATTACTAAATTCTGGTCCCCCACACCACAGGTCAAAATCCTCTTTTCCTATGGAAAAGTAACACACACCAACATATTCATAGCAGCAATTTTCTGACAGCAAAAAGCTGGAGAAAAAAATAGGTGTCCATAAATTAGGGAATGACTAATTGTGGTATGTGAATGTAAATGTAGTATTATTTTGCCACAGGAAACAACAAATATTAATAATTTAGAGAAGCATGGGAAGATTTGTAGAAAATGATAGAGCGAATAAAAAAAAAAGTAAAAATCACATGCACAATGACAACAGTATAATGGAAAAGGACAAAAACCGAGTACCAGCCCTAGAAAAGAAAATTCACTTCACT